CTATATTGCACATGATTGGCTTAAATAAAAGTAAATAAGAACTGCCACATTTTGTGTTGCTTTCCAAAGAATGAGTGAGGCAGCATACATTGGTGATTCTTCAACTATGGTATTTATTGTGTTCCTATTGCAGAAAAAAACAAATAAATTCAACATTTTTATCCCTGTCTGATTTAAAACTAAATGGAAACATAATAATAACTTTAGTATCAAATGGTACACAAACTCCCATGTTAATGAAATATACATTCAGCATAAAATATTACTCTTGAAAAGAACATCTGCCCCTTGGGGTCACTGTCATTTCCATCACACTGGACTTATAAGGTAAGTGTAAGGAGGATTTTTCTTATGATAGTTTACTTAGTGATCACAGTAGTCATGTGACATCGGAGCATTATGGCTCATGTTACCACTGAATGTAGGTTAAAGGAAAGAAACAAGATTTTATATTGATTCACATATATATATATATGTATATATATATACATATATATATATTTTTTTTGGGGGGGGGCATTTTAGCCTTTATTCGAGACAGATTGGGACAAGTAAAGAGAGACAGGAAATTTTGGGAGGAGAGAGTGGTAGAGGCCATGCAGCAAGAGGTTGGATTTGAACCCACAGCCGCTGTGATGAGGACTAGAGCAGCTGTACATGAGCGTGCTTGTCATAACCACTATGCTATTGCTCTTTGTAAAATGTCATTTCCAACACATCCAGTCATTTTTGTCACAAACATATTCTAAAGTAAGAATCATAAAAATCTTACAGCCACACTCATCAATTTCACAATTATGAAACTTGCAGCTGTTTTAACACAAAATGGAAAATATAATCTTTAAAATCATGAACATAACATATATATATACAGGTACATCGGGGCATTTCTACAAATCTGAAATTGTGTTAGATATTTTGAAAACAAAGACATGATCATACTTTTTTAAGTTGTGTTGTGAGAAATTACCGTTTTCTCTATTTTTCGAATAGAAACAAACATAATTTATTTTTTATTTGTATCAGTGCATCCAGTATATCAGTAAGGTTTCTAAACAGAATGGAGAAAGAAAACATATTAATGCTGTCCTTCGACTTTGAGTTGGATTTTCCAAAACTTTTCTTGTCCAAATCGTACCACATATGAAATAACTTGTGATCATCACATTCTTATTTCCACCAACACCACAGACCAAGAACATACACATAAAGGGAACTTAAAGAAATTTTTAAATATTTATTTATTTTGAGAAAGATAATTTATTTCACTTATTCATTAAAAAAAAAAACTTTATCCACAAGAAAGTTAAATCTGCAAACAGGGTTGATTAAAAAAATGAGCAGGCATTTTGCAAGCATTCATCACTTTAGTTTTCAAGAGTGTATGATTTGATCCATCTTATAATAAGTCACATTTCATTTATTTATATGTTATTTATCAGATGTGTTTTATTTGCATTCCTGGGTACTGCTTGTTTAAAGAAAAGCAGCTTACAGTTCAGATAAGACTGGTAGCATGATGATTTATGTCTTTCAGGTGTTAAAAGTAGACTGAAGGACTTCTTGATAAACGATTAAGATCTGATTAAAGTGGGCTACGTTTAAATTATGTGGTGTACTTCTGTATACCAACTCAGGGCATTTACACACTGCATATTGACAAATGATTATTGTCAAATACACACCGTTCTGGGTAAAGTGTCTGCTCAGATTTTAGGAACAAAGTGAAGTCAAAGAAGAGACAAACATGGGTCTAACACAGACTGTAAAAAGGTCCAACAGCAATTAACTAAATACTTGCTTTGACCGCCCCCTAGTGGATACTTTGAGAAATCTTCTGACTGCATGATCATACATATACCTGCTGTTTAACAGATAGACCTAAAAATATAAAAGTTAAGAGTTAAAGTGTCTCATGCGCATTGTGTATGGATCCGTCCGCTTCTGGTGTCAATGATCACAGACTCCACACTGGGAATACCACAATAAGGATAGGAGCACAGCTTACCTTAAGGAAAAAAGAGTGATCAGTCTCTAAAATAAATGTTATTTTAACTCCATATGCAACTTAATTTTAACAGGCTTACATTTGGTTCATTTTTGCTGAACACATCCAGTTCAAAGCAATGTGAAACACAAAATCCTCATTTGTGATTTTGCTCTGTGATTCTACTGTATTTCTTTTTATTTTATTTAAGCGCTGACACCTGCCATCTACTAGCCTATATACCACTAGGGGGCACTACAGGCTGAAACTGTAGGCTATGCAAATTACAAAATATCTTTAATGCACATAAAACTAAAGTATGCAATGTAGGCTATGTACCTAAATGAATAAAATGCTGTACACAATACACCTTAAGGCCCGATATTATTTAAGATTATGCATTGTAAAATTGATAACCCCCTTCCCAGATTTTTAAATGTAGCCTAACATTTAAATGAGGGGGCGGGAGGCTTAGAGATAATATTAACGAGGAGCCTTTAAACGCAACACTTACTCTTGTTCCCCGCGTCTTGTCACGACGCTCGTTTGATAACCTGTGGGGACTTAGCGACTGATTTCTTTTGGCAAACAGCACGGACACGTAAACAGCCTGTCATTTAAAGCCAGCTGCTGTCACTGTTAATTGTTTGAAACAACTCGTACATGACTTCAGGATGGTTGTGGACGACGTTCAGTTTCTGAGCATACTGAAGGGAAAACGCGTGAAACTGACCCTGAAGACTTCGTCTTACCTCGGCGTCGTTCAACGAATCAACCCCAACAAAACATTGATTTTGGCAGACGGTTAGAAAATAATATATATATCCATGGTGTATTCAATAAGTTAACATACCATTTATGATGAGTTAACTTCTTAAAAATTAAAAATTACTAAATTAATCACTGTCTGCAATATAAAGCTACCTTAATGTTTGTGTATTGTTTTAGTGAGTGGCAGTAATGGCTGCAAGTTTCCTGGCTCTAAAATGTTCTTCGGGCATGAGATCTTGAACGGCAAGTCCTCACAAGTCCAAGTCTCAAGTCCTTTTTTTTTAAATAAATAGAGGCTGAGTTAAAAATGAAAATACATAACTACACTTTGAAATGTTTCTATCACATTTAACTTGCAGTGGAATTTACCAATGAAGGTAAAACTAACCATGGGTAAGTGATTCAACAACAATCTGCAACACACTGTGCTCACCCTGTGATCTCTAACTGTAATAAAACCAAGTACAATGTGCTGCACAGAAATATCCAAGAGCACAGACTGCAGGAGCACTTGGAAGTGGAAAAGTTTCAGCCATACAGGAAGAAAATGGCATCTGGTAAGTGTAGCAAAGGCTAGGGAATTAAAGCTAAATTAATACTAGAAAGTGTTGTTTTTTTAAAGATGAAGTAATCCTTATTCACACTTGGGGGGGGGGGGGTTCCTTGTTGTAGTATATGATGATGAAGACGAGGAGGAGTATATCAACTTTGAAGTGATTGATCAGTTTCATGAGAAATTTGGACCAGCTGTAAGTTGATTTTAAATTCATTTTCAGTTGCATGAATGGTCAAAAGTTACTGCAAGGAACTTTTTTTTGTTGATCTTAGCGAGCACTGTGTATTAAAATAAAGCTCATCTTATCTCCTTGCTCACTCCTCATTTGTTTTGTCTGTCCAATAAATCTCCTCCTGCTTCATTTTGAAAGTCAGACATATCACTCACTTTGAGTCTTTACTGTAGAAGATGTTAATCAGCTCGTGTCTGTATTCTCTTGGCCTATTTATTACACATTATGGGAAACTGAGCTCTATAAAGACCTTGTTGTGTTTGAAAATCTCTAATATGTTGCGTTCCCATCCTTAAGGTGATGCATATCAAGAAGCAGCGTGTGATTGGTGTGGGTGCCGATGGCGTTGAGGTGTTTCAGCATGGGAGGCTGTGCTGGCTGCAGGTCAGTAGTTCTTTGTTCCCTCTTTTTTGAGCCTCTTCTCTGTTCATTGCTTCTTTCATGCATTTCCCTCGTGTCCCTTTGGTCTTCATTCTAGATTTCCACTAAAAACAAAGTCTACCTGTTTGATATCCTGGTTCTTGGAGCGCGGGCCTTTAAGAATGGTCTTTCCATGATCCTGGAAAATAAGCACATACTGAAGGTAAGCATTGTTAAAACTAGAGACACTATTCATTCAGTCATAGTGATGATTATGATCATGAACTTTTTGTTGAATTTGAACAGGTCATTCATGACTGCAGGGCTGTTGCTGGATGTCTGGTTTCTCAGTTTGGAGTAAAGCTTACCAATGTCTTTGACACACAGGTATATAAATATATTTATATACTGTCCTACTTTAGAACAACATTCAACAATGTGGGCCTCACTTGCGTGTTTAGTTTTCATGTTACACATTTCCTTCTTCGCTCACTTCATGTTTTCAGGTGGCAGATGTCATGAGCTTCTTGTCAGAGACGGGCGGTTTCCTCCCAGACAGAGTCAGTACTCTGCAGGAGGTGGTGAGTCTCCATCTAAAAGTGCCCTCGTCCCAGCTTCTATCACTTCAGATGAAGTCACAGCTCACCATGGTACAGCACACGCAATCTAATCTGAGATGGTTTTCTTTCCTGAATACTTGTTTCTAGGTGTGATGGAGGTAATGCTGTGCGTTTTTACAGGAAGAAAGGGAGATGTGGCAGAAGCGTCCCTGTCCTGTTCCCTTGCTGAAGGTGATGGCTCTGTCGGTGATCCATCTTCAGCCTCTCAGACTGGTTCTGCTGGATGCTCTCATGACAGACTACGTGACCCTGGTGGATTCATACCTGAACAGCAGCCACTTCCAACCTGATGAATTAGAGCATGTCAGCATGGTGGGTTATCACAAATGAACTTTTTAAGATTTTATGTTAATCCCAAAACAATTCAGATACATCTACAGTTTTGTAGTAATGACGCAAATGAGCACTTAAGTTGTTTTCAAGCAATCACTTGGCTCATGTCAAAGTATGAAACATTCAAATTATTATTATTGTTTTTGCCTCAGTTTTTTCGTTGATGCAGTCCTTCTTATCGCCCTGCATCATTGTGAGAACCACTGCTTCTTCAAAATATATTTACATTCTCAATGAACAGAAGGCTAACTGTACATTAGTTCAGTTGTGTATGTGTATTTTCAGACAAAGAGATCATATAGATGGATTCTTAATTGGTGCTTTTCTTGACAAACAATCTTACCATTGCTTGTTTAAAAAAAACATTTAAGTTATTTAATTGTCCATTCTCTGTCTGTTCTTTCCTTCTTTCAAACGACCCCTTCCTTAATATGATTCCAGGTTGAATGATGGTAATCATAATCATTCATTCTGTACTAAAGAAGCAGTCTCAAGTGAAGCTGAACTTCGTTTGATGTAAACATTTCTGACTTCTTTTCCTGACACAGTTCTTCTTTTTTTAGCGATGTTCTAAGGAAAGTAGTGAACATTTTGTTATTATGTAACCTCTTGATCTGCCTGGATGTTTTATATGAGCCACAGTTGAACTTGGATTTATTTTTACATAAGTGAAATAGGTCTCTGGATTTTGTCTTCCATCACCAGCTCTGACTTTGAGGCAGGAAGGGATCTTATTGCTAGATGGAACAACAGCTGTGACCAAAATCTACACATTTTTGTAGTGGATCTATTGGTATTTTCTGTTGGTTGCAAATGAATTAATGAATGTTTTTTTGGTTTCTGACATAAGGACCCATACCATCTACTATTATACACAGTAGTATTAAAGCAGACAGGAAAGCAGTTTACACACTCTCTGTTTGACTCTTTAGGAGAGTGTGTTGGAGCTGCCCAAAGAGCTCAGGCAGTTTGAGCAGATGCGTTGTGAGAAACAGGAATGGGCTGCTGATCACTTCCCTGTCAATGAGAAAGGACTGCTGGCTCGCTTCAACCCCCGAGCTCAGCCTCCATCCAAGACCTCATCCGCAGTGGAGCAGCGTGGGCTGACGAAGGCTGGTTCCTTTCAACCTGAAACTGTGGATTCACCTTCCTCATCACCAGCAGACCTTCATCCTACTAGCCCTCCAAGAGACACCAAAGTCCTGTCTGGGGAATTCCCTGTTTCCTCTGTCCCAACAACTCAAGTTCCATTACAAGCTGCTGGATCAGATGTCTGCAAACCAATTTCCCCAACTCATGGTGCAGCACGAGGGCACATGGAGGTGCTGATGGATGCAATGGGTAGAGGAAGGCCCTTTGCGAAAGACTCATCAGTCTCGCCCTTGCCTGCTTTTGGAAGAGGGTTCCTTCTTCAGATGTCACAAGCTCAGACCCCCAGAGAGAGCACAGGGGACCAAGGGACTGCTCCTTTAAGCCCCAACCATACGTTTACCAAAGAATTGATGACCGACCATGGTCCCGGCCCTGCTAAGGACTCTGCAGCCTTGAGGACACCCCAGTCCCTCTCATCTTCACCCATGCAGTCATTCAGGCCTTTCAGCTTTTAAAGCAAGTCTTAAAAACGTTTCAGTTCCATAGTTTGTGATGTCATACTGTGACCAGTAGGTGGCAGTAAATGCTCTGTTTTGTGTAAGAGTTTGTTTGGTAGAAGTTGATACTGAAAGTGTTATGTTTTCAAAGAATAATAATTTAGCTTTAATGTTAAATTTCAGGTCATTTAAATACAATTTTTATTAGTTATTATGACGCAATGTCAATTTGTTTGTTCCTTCGTTTTGTCACATGTCTTAAGAAATTTGCCTTAAAATCCTTCTCGTTATGAAAACGTGGTTATTATTTGCAGTCTTTACAGTATAACCAAGACAATCTTCTTTATTTAGTGTTTGATACCAAGTATCATAGACTTATTTTGATGGTGGAGTATTTTTAGTCATGCAAAGTGTGGCTGTGTGAACACAAACTACAACCACAAACAGCTCCACACACCTTTTTGTCTTTACCGTAGCATGCTAAGCATAGCTTGCTTGATTGCCAATACAGCTTGGCTTCTGTGCCTCATTGATTGACTGTGAGAAACAGACGGTCATTGATGAATCAGCTGCTAATTTAGCAAAAACACTGCTATAGCTGTCACCCCTTTTGATGACTGATGGGAAAAAAAACAACACAAGACTTGCGCACACAGGCTGAGCAGTGATCCTCACTCTCTGCAACCTCACTCATGTCTGCAGCTCGTATGTACATGAACACAGGTGCCAAACATCTGCTGTGTTCTAAAAAAAAAGCAGGTCTTAAACATGAAATGTGCAGCTTGAGGTGCCATGCAGATATTGCAGAGAGCCACTGCACATCCATTTCAGCCTGGATCAAGGCATGGATGTAACAGCAGGGCGTTGCTCCAGCCTACAGCGCAAATGAGCCCCCCATATTAATCACATCTTATTGCTATGGTTATCTACATGCAGCGGCTTGGGCCCTATCCAGAGCTTTTTTAATTGAAAGCATGAAACAGATAAAGTAGGATTTTAATTAATTGGGAGGCAGCCCGGCACAAAGCCTCACATCTCTCTTAGCAACCAGCTCCTCCTCAGCTTCTGCTAAACACAAGCAGGGTGGATCCCACCCATATGCCTCCTTTAACCCTTTGAAATGTGTTTTTTCTTTACTCAATCTGTTAAACTCCTGTAAGTAAACCTCCCATAATAAAATTTTCTGTAACAAAACATCATATTTAGACCTAACTCAATTGACTTGCGTTGTTTTAACGTTTAGCATTGATTACACAAAGAATGAGAGTTTTATATATCTGCGTCACTCACAAGTCAACTTGTGGAGGGATTTGTGTGTGTGTGGTTGTGTGGAGGGGGGGGTGCAGGTCTCTGTGGGGCCGTGCAGGACAGGCCCCTGTCATTGACAACCAGATTGGGGCTCTTAATTTAGAGGACCTTGCATTTCCTCTCCGTCACAATAATGCCTTATGTGCAGCACTTCCTGTTTCTCAGGCCTGGGAGGAAGGAACAGGGCGCTTGTCACACGGTAGTCACACCGCTTCCTCCCCCCCCCCTCCCCTCCCCCTCCCCCTGCTCTCAAACTTCAGACAGTGTTGTGTCCTTCAGAGGGGAAAGATGACTGCACCTTCAGCATCACAGCAGGATGCTGCCGGACTATTTTTAGCGTGAGTCGGAAAGGTAGTGCACAGACATAAACACAAACTTTAGGATGTCCAGCTGTGTTGATTTAGCATCCGAAAATGGAGGTTCAACTGTGGGGGCCGATTTATTGTTTTGACTGAGCAGTGGGAACCAGGAGGCCTGCTGTTTGCTTCAGGTGTAATGGAAATGTGTCACCCATAAACAATGATAAGCACTTAAAATATTGCACATGTTGTCCTTGAAACCGTTCAAACTAGACACTAAACATACAGTGCACCATTATTTAACTGCACAGTATCAAGGGGCACCACCAAGACTTGTTGTACCCTTCTGACAAAACAAGTGTCAGCCCACCTTCCTCGCCACCTTATTTACTTGACGCCATGTAATTGTTGTCCCACAGCAGCTCTTGTTACAAACAACAGCAAAGCCACATATATACGACAGACGAATGATGATCGAGGCTTCAGATTTGTTTATAATTAATAGGTTTTTGTTAATTATTAAGAACGAAGGGATAATTTACCAAAAACCACTCCCTTTAAATGGCACCTTGACAATTGTCACCTTGCTTAGTGTGTCATTAAATGTCATAGATCATTTTGCTGACTAAGTGTTCTTTCAGATAACGGTGCATTTCTCCTTTCTCTGTTCATGCATAAGTCAGGGAAAAGCTGATACAACCCTTACGGACCACTGGACTGTCAGTAATCAGACTGTTTGTGCAAGTCGTAATAAATTTGACACATGATTGAATCCTACCGTATAGACATTTTCTTTAGCTAATGACAGGCCTCGCATCATGTTGTTTATTCCTGAGGTGGCAGAAGCGACCTTTTTGATTGGCTCGCTGAAAGAACTTGATCCGATGGTTTTTACCTGAGTCATCCTGTGCAAAGAGACAGACTGAGAGGTGCTATTCAGCAGTCAGACTGTTGCACAACAAATTAGTGGCATGTCAACAAAATAATCTCAGTTTCATTATTCATGTAACCACATGTAATCCCTTTGTAGTCCGAGGCAGGGAGGAACATAATCAGATATCAGGTTCCACTCTGACACTGAACTGCAGCCAATCTTCCATCTGTTAGGAAAAACCTATTGTTGAATCCTACTCAACACCCCCGCGGCCCCCCCACTCACTACTCACCACCTCGCCCTCTGTCTCTCTCTCGCATTACAAAATGACCCTCTTTTGCTCTCCTCTGGTCATATTCAGCAGAAGAATTAATTTTTAACGTGAGAAAGGCCGACCTGTCCAGATGGCCTTTCAACGAAAAATTAGAAAAAAACGAAGCATCAATATTTCAGCCAGTTTAGTGGTGGACAGAGAACACTTCTGCATTACTTGATTCAAAGTAGTGATACTCCTGGTCTTATTATCACTTGAGTTAAAGCATTGGAGTACTTGATAAAAAAAAATACTTCAGTATTCAAACTACGACTAATATTTCTAAACGTATTTTCACAATGCATGAGTACATTCAAGAATCCATTGGTGTACATTCTGCTACGTTATGTTTATTTAGAAACCATTATGCAGGGCTCACGATGTGGCCTTCATTGACAATTTTATCTGCTCTGGAACCGCTACTCTCTTTTTTAAAGCTGACGGACTTCACCCAAACAAAGCCGGCTCACAGTTGCTAACCACAATCATCCAATACACAGTACAGTACACGCCATGCAACTGACTATCAACAAATGAAGACATCAATGCAGCTGATTCCCATTCTTCCTCTATGGTTCCAGTACACCCAACTGTTTCCCCCACCAGCCCCCCCTACCGTCCAAAGGTCTGCTCCTCCATCCTTCACACAGCACGTCAACTTCCCCACTCACAGCCGTGGTCACATTCTGGACTTGGTCTGCTCCACTGGTCTCACAATCCATCAACTGTTAAGTCTCAACCTCAACATCTTCGACCATCTCTCTTCCCACTCCAAAACTAAAACGAAAGATCTCCTTCAGAAACATAAAATCAGTCGACCCCTCAGCTCTTTCAGCCTCTATAACCAGCAAAATCTCTTCCTCCCTTCCCCCCCAATTTAAGAATCCCTATGAACTCACCACCTACTATAACAACACACTCTCTTTCTGTTTAGATCAAAACTGAAACTGTCTCATTCACACACTCTGCACCCTGGTACACTCCCGAACTCCATAAAATGAAATCCCAGCGAAAGACTCCACAAGAAAACCGGTTTAACATTTCACTTCCAATCATACTCTGACTACCTCAAACAATACATGAAAGCTCTCAGCGCAGCCCGGTCCACCTATTACTCAAACCTAATCCACTCAGGCTCATCCAACCCCAAGGCACTCTTCTCTACAATAAATAAACTCCTCAAACCCACTGACAACACCTCTTCCTCCTTCACAGTTTATAAATGTAATGCTTTTCTTTCATTCTTTCAATCCAAAATTGACACCATTTACAGCAGCTTCAACACTCTCACTGTTCCCTCTTCATCCCTACCCGCATCCCCTCGCCTCATCACCCAACCTCTGTCTCAGTTCTCCCCTGTGTCCCCAAATGAGCTATCCATCAGCATAAAGTCCTCCACCAGTATTCTCGACCCCATCCCATCCAGTCTCATCAAAAACTGTCTCCCAGCCATCGCGCCACTCCCTCTGCTCTGGTTCAGTACCCAAAACTCTCAAACTGGCAGCCGTCACCCACATCCTCAAGAAACCTGGACTCAATACAGACAGCATGTGCAACTTCCGCCCCATCTCCAACCTCCCCTTTCTTTCAAAAATACTGGAACGTGTTGTCGCCTCAACGCCTCAACATCACTGGCACTGCTCTTTCCTGGTTAAAATCCTACCTCACCGACAGACAACAGTTTATCAACATCAATAACTGCTCCTCCTCCATAGCTCCTTTGTCCCAAGGCGTCCCCCAGGGTTCGGTGCTTGGTCCCCTCCTGTTCATCATATACTTGCTCCCCCTTGGTAACATTATCCGGCAGCATGGTCTCCATTTCCACTGTTATGCAGATGACATCCAGCTTTACATCTCCACCAATTCAATCACCACTGAAACCCACTCTACCCTGACAAACTGCCTCAATGAAATAAAAACATGGATGCACACCAACTTCCTCTCTCTCAACTATGCAAAATCAGACATATAATCATCGGCCCCAAATCCCTCACCAATTCCATTCACAACTTCTCCTTCACAATAGACAACTCCACTCTCTCCCCCCTCCCCTCATATCCACAATCTTGGAGTCATCTTTGACAGCCAGCTCTCCTTTGATCACCACGTCACCCAGCTCACAAGAACCGCCTTCTTTCACCTCAAAAATACAGCCCGCCTCCATCCACTACTCTCATTTTCTGCTGCTGAAACCCTAATCCATGAATTCATCACATCCAGACTCGACTATTGCAATAGCATCCTTTTCGGCACATCATCCAAAGTCCTTAATAAACTTCAATACATCCAAAACTCTGCTGCACGCCTCCTCACCCACACCCGAACACGCGAACACATCACCCCTGACCTGCAAAATCTCCATTGGCTCCCTGTCCCTTACCGTATCCAATTCAAAATCCTTCTCCTCATACATAAAGCCCTTAACCACCAGGCCCCCTCCTACCTCATGGCTCTCCTTCACCCTCACGCTCCTGCACGCAGCCTCCGTTCTTCAAAAGCCAACCACCTATCTCCCCCTCTTAGAACCAAGCACCGAACCTGGGGGGACAGAGCCTTCTCCATAGCTGCCCCCTTCCTCTGGAACTCACTCCCTACACACATTCAACACTGCACCGACCCTCCTACTTTCAAATCACTTATCAAAACTCACCTCTTTAAACAAGCTTGTATGACTGTGATGTATTTTCTGTTTTCTGTAGTTTACCTTTATTGTTGTTATCTTTATGATTTGTGTGTAATGTTGCAATGTCTGTCCTTACTGTGCTGTTCTTTCTGTTTTTTTTTTTTTAACTATTGTACAGTGTCTTTGAATTTTTGAAAAGCGCTTATAAATAAAATGTATTATATTATTATTATTATTATTATTATTATTAACACTTTTTCAACTACAGAGTTCCAGATTTGCAGATCCTAATTAATAGGAAAAATAATAGGAACAACCAAAACTACCTGATGACCAGGGAAAATGTCAGCCAGACTTTAAACAGTGAGAAAACATTCACATTTCAGTTGGTGCACAGCCTCTTGAACTGTGCAATTGTGCAACTTAGTCCTGGTGCCTCTAGAGCTGCCTTTGTTTTTTTTCACCTCTCTGCAGCGATGTTATCACACATCATTAACTAAAACATAAAAAGGGCCTGTGTGACAATTTCTTAATTCCAGTAAATGACTTGCCTGGTCTGAGTGATGTTTGCTGCGTTTGCTCTATGTTCAGCACGCCCTGCCTTTATGTTAGTATCCCTGCTGTCAGGATCATAGCTCAGGAAGACCTCAAGATATGCACACATTCATTAAACCAGATATATTCACAGATGCAGGAACACAATATGCATCTTTATGAACTGCTGCTTTGTGTCTGCTCAGTCAGCGTGGTGCATCGGGACCTTTAGGGCCTCTCCAAAGGAG